TAGCTGGCAGGACTTGTAAAGAAAATACAGCCTGATAATTGAACATCCAGAGATGACCCTCGCTGACTTGTTGATGTCCTGAGAATCAAACCTTGACTAACTTCAATCAAGTCCATACTCATTAAAAAAAAAAAAAAATCATTAACTGGAGCCAATCTTTATTACTGGTAACTCAGAGGTCAACATTCTCCTATCAAAAGTGGGTGAACGTACCTATTCGGATGGTTACTATTAAAAGAAAAGAAATAAATAAAGAAAAGAACTAGTGTTGGCAAGAACGTCAAGAAATTCGAACCCTGGTGGGAACGTCAAATGGTGCAGCCACTGTGGAAAACAGTATGGTGGTGCCTCAAGAAACTAAAAATGGAATTACCATATGATCCAGCAATTCCAAAAGAATAGACTCAAAGGAGTTGAAAGCAGGGACACAAACAGATATTTGCACACCCATGTTCACATAAGCATTACTCACAAGAGCCAAAAGGTGAATGCTACCCAAGTGTCCATCAACAGATGAATGGATAAAGAAAATGTGGCATGGAATAATATTCCACCTTTAAAGAAGCAGAAATTCTTACACACGCTACAACACGGATGAACTTTGAAGACATTGCGCTAAGTGAAATAAGCCAGTCACCAAGAGATAAATGTTGTATGATTCCTCTGACATGAGATACCTAGGGAAATCAAACTCATAGAGACAGGAAGTAGAAGGGTGGCTACCGGGGACTGGAGGGAGGGAAGAATGGGGAATTATTGTTCAATGGGTACTGAGTCTCAGTTTTGCAAAACGAAGAGTTCTGGAGATTGTTTGCACAACAACGTGAATTTACTTAACACTACTGAACATACACTTAGAAATGGTTGAGATGGTAAATATTATGTTACATGTATTTTACCACAGTTAAAAATTCAAAAAAAAAAATATTGAAGTGGGACAAAGTCACAGAACATATGCAATCCCTTCAGCCCAGCCTTCCTCTCCTCCCACTTTGAGCTTCACCAATTCCACCCAATTCCTTACTCCCCAGTTCCATGCTACAGGTCTACTCCTGGGTAGGTTTGTCAGCTCTGTTTCCTCTGCCTGGAATGCTCTTCCCTTCTTTATCCTATTTTTCAAGCAAACTCCGCCCAAATGTCAGCTTTCTGAAGACTTTCCTGTCCTGACTACCCGCAACCTGCCCTGAAGTTTAGCCAGTCTGTCTTTGGGCCATGCTTTTGCCTCATCTATATTTCTATCATTGTCCTTTTGCATAATGTTATGGCTCCCTGTTTACATGTATGTATCTCCTATCAGCCCACTGGGGGGAGAGGTACATGAAGGAATGACAGCATCTATATTTCTATCATTGTCCTTTTGCATAATGTTATGGCTCCTTGTTTACATGTATGTATCTCCTATCAGCCCACTGGGGGGAGAGGTACATGAAGGAATGACAGGAAACAGGCCTTTTCTCATCCACCTCAAGTGAAGAGTAAGGACCCAAATATTTGGAGACTGAATTTAATTAAAATGGGATTGTAATGGCTTTAAACATGTACACCTTGTGACCTCATGGTGAATCTTCTACCTCCCTCTAATGTAAGCACAGCACAGTTTCTCAGGCTGGTGTCATGGTAATTTGGGGCATCTCAAGGGCCATCAGGGTTTCAGGAGGCCTCCATAAATCTCATGGGAAAGATGAAACCCATGGGAGATGGATTGGGTTCCTGGCCTGGTCCCAGGCTTAAGGTACTGTAGTAAACAGTGTCCAGCAGGGCAGGTACCCACTCTTAAAGAAAAGTGCCTGGTGTACACAAAAGGCCTAGCAAACTGGGATGGGGAGAGGTGGGGCTGAATAATGAAAACACTCTCAAAGACGACCTTAGACATCTTTGTGCACATAACAAAGGGGACTTGGGCTAAACTCTGAAGGAAAGGAGTTTCTACAGCAAACAGTAAAAGAGATCAATTAAAAAAATAAAAAACCTATACCCCATGGGACATTTAAAATCCTACTGCCAGGAAAGAAGTGTAGATAGAAGGAAGAAACTAGAGTCCAGAAATGGATACATACTTATATCATCAATTGATTTATTACAAAGGTGCCGAGGCAATCCAAAGGGAAAGGGATAGTCTTTTCAATAAATGGTGCTGGGACAAATGAATATCCATATGCAAAACAGTATAAGAAACTTTAACTCTTACCTCACACCATATACAAAAACTGACTCAATGGAACACAGACCTAAATGAAATATCTGAGTCTATAAAACATCTAGAAAAAAGCATTGGAGAAAATCTTTGTGATATGGGGGTAGGTAGAAATTTCTTAGATGTGACAACAAAAGCACAATCCAGAATAGAAAAATTGATAAATTGGACTTTATCAAAATTAAAAACTTTTTGGGCCAGCCCGGTGGCACACTGGATAGTGCGCCGCTTGGGAAGCGCGGCAGCGCTCCCGCCCGAGGGTTCGGATCCCACATACAGACCGGTTCCCGCTCACTGGCTGAGCGAGGCGCGGGAGCGATGCCGAGGGTTGCGATCCCGTTGCCGGTCCCCGGTCCGGTACGGGGGCGACACTGAGGGTTGCGATCCATTGCCGGACACAGAAAAAGACAAAAGACAAAAAAAAAAAAAAAAAAAATTAAAAACTTTTGCTCTTCAAAAACACTATTAAGAAAATGGAAAGACAAGCCACAGACTGAGAGAAGATATTTGCAAATCATACAAAGATAAAGAACTTGTATCCAGAATACATAAAGAACCTCTACAACTCAATGATAGGAAGACAAACAACCCAATTAAAAGGTTTAAATAGACATTTCACCAAAAATGTACATATATAAATAGCTAATAAGCACATAAAAGGATATTTACTATTAATCAGTGAAATGCAAATCAAAACCAAAAGGAGATACCATTAGGCACCTACTAAAAGGGTTATAATGAAAAAGACAGTCAATTGACAAGGATATGGAGGAACTAAAATTCTCAAATATTGTTGATGGGAAAGTAAAATTGGAAGCAGTTTGGCAGTTTCTTTCAATGTAAGCATACACATCACATGAACCAGCAATTCCACTCTTAGGTATCTACCCAAGAGAAGTAAAATCACGTCCACACAAAGACTTGTATGCAAAGATTCATATCAACCTTATTAATAATAGCCCCAAACTGGACACTACCCAAATGTCCGTCAACTGATGAGTAGATAAACTAAATGTGATATAGCCATATAGTGGAATATTACTCAATAATAAAAAGGAATAAACTACTGAGACATTAAACAGCATGGATGAAACTCAAAAGCATTATGCTAAGTGAAAGAAGCTCAACACAAAAGTCTACATATTGTGCAATGTTATTTATATGACATTTCTAGAAAAGGCAGAACTTCATAGCTAATAAACAGATCCATCATTCAGTTTGAGGTTAGGAACAGGCACAAGGGAATTTTGGGGGTGATGGAAGTGTTCTAAAACTGTAGAGAGGTGATGGTTGAAGAACCATATAAATTTACTAAAAATCATTGAACTGTATACTTACAATAGTTGCATTGGTATGTAAATTATAATTCAATAAAACTGGGGTTTTTTAATCCACTATAAGTTACTCAAAAATTCTACCCCCAAAAAATCTAGCCTAAATTTACTTTAGCAAAAATACAAAATAATCCATGCATTAGTCTATTTATCATAGCATTTTTATATAAGCAAAAGGCTGGAAACAAACTATGTTAAATTATAGTTATGTAAATTATAATTCAGTAAAACTGTTTTTTTAATCCACTGTAAGATACTCAAAAATTCCACCCCAACTTCAAGGTGAACGGAGTTGTGCTGTGTTGCCTGTTCTGACCTGGACTGAGGAGTACACGACTGATCTGCAAGGAAGGAGGAGCTGTGAGTCCGTGTTGCTG